TGTTTCATTTTCAATTCTTATTTTCTTATATTAACTTGTTGTTGACAAATCATTACTGCATACGATAATATGAACGTAAGGTCAAGGGGGTACTTGATAGTAAGTTAGTAACTCTTTGATCATGATACCAACCCCGATACTCTCAGATCTTTGTGGTTGAGATCTTAACTTTGAATCTCATTAACCTAAGAACTAATATATCTATACCCAAGTTGATGTCCTAAGCTTAAGAGTGGTACCATTAATTAACAATAGATGATTTGTTTGAGCCACAAAAGCCAATCACCTAAACTCAAAGTACTCCAACACTTGGAAAGTACCAACAAGAAGCCAACACGGTCACTTGGCTCAAAGCTACCCTCTTCACCTTTTGGATTAAAGAAATTTATGGGCATCATATGTGTTTGAAGCCTTCTTCATCCTTCCTCATTGTTGCCCCTGAGGAGAGAAAAAGGCAAATGTTTTAAGTTGGGATGATATGGTTTTAAACTTAGAAGGGCACTCTGAAAAAGCTAGCTCTGCACGCATTAAGCCCTTTTGGATTGAGCGACGACACTGGGGACCAATTTTTCAAACAAAAAGATGTTGAAAGGGTGGTGGTGGTGATAGTTTAGTGGGTGGATTTTAATTTCTTCTCATTGTTGTGTATCGCTTTTGCTAGTTGGCCTAGCTTTTGTAACCATAAATTCAATGGGAAATGGAGACCTTTGGAGAAAAAGAAATACGGCTTTATTGCTGGATCTGGAAAAAGAAAGGCAAAGGTGAAAAGGAAGAGCCTAGGATGGGGGAAATCAAGCTCTTTTTTCCTTGCAAAAAAAAAAAAAAATTTAGTGTAAAGTGCAATATTTACTCTCATCTAACGAAAATAATTATATTTACTCCCAAACTGAAAATGGGTCTAGATTAATTTGGTGCTTACTGCTTAGAGCGGGATCCACTTTTTGGGGAATATGAGTCGAAGTAATAACTAGAATATTTCTAGTGGAACATCTTAAAATTACGATCATGTTACGAGAACTGTAAGAAAATATATGCATAATAAGATTTGTGTGTTGTGGTTGAAAAGCATTGGATTATTTTTCACTCATGCAATTAATTAAATTTTTGAAACTTTTTTAAGTTCTCGTCCATGGAGACTTTACAGCCTGTTTGGATGGACAAAAAAAAAAAAAATAGGAATTGGAATTCATTTCCAATTCTATTTCATTTTTCTATGTTTGGATGGAATTGGAAAATGAATTCCATTGAACCCAAATATTGGAAATTAGAATTCATGATCAAAAGTGATAGAAATTGGGTTTATAGAGATGGAATTAGTGGGACTCACTCATATTTATTATTATTTTATATCACCACTATCTTATTATTCTCTTTCTCTCTCATTAGTATTTCATTTCTCAAGATAAAAAAAAATCTACTAATTTTTTAATGATTGTTAAGAGTACAATTCATATCCATAGTTGTTGGAATCCTACAAAACACAAATATTGAAAATGGAATTCCATAAAAATTAAAATTGGGAATGGAAATCCATCTCCATTTTTTATGGAATTGTATCCAAATAGACTGTTAGCATTGTGGATAGTGGGTTGGTGAAGCACAAGCAAAAACAAGAGAGCAAATGAACCAAAAAAATTTAAATAAAATTGTAACAACCCCCAAGAGCTATGGGTTATGGCCTACCTTTGTTGGCCATTTTCTAGGGGCAACGAGAAGACTCTTCCGTTCCTATCTAATTAAGTTGCCCAATATTCTTCATTTACCTAATCCCTTAATTTGGTGGCATTGAACCCACCAAAATAACCTAGACTACAAAATATGAAGCCCCCTTTTAGCTGAATGGAGGGGTCTCACAAAGTAATCTCAGCTTTCAGGATCTAATTTTATTATTTTTCATGAATAAAATGCTATACGGATTTTTCAAATATGATAGTCAAAAGATGAGATTAATTTTGAATAAAAAAATCCAATAGTCAAAAGATGAGATTAATTTTGAATTTAGGGTTAAGGTTAACAGTGTTCCCTGTACTTATTAACTTTTCTCATATTGACACCATGATATTTTCTTTCACCCCGTACACTCCCAACTTTATTTTCTTAAGTGACAGTCATTTCAATAAAATTTGGCAAGATTTAACTTAGGGGTCGTTTGGTAAGCATGTAATCTACCCACAGATTTCAAGATTACATGATATCTGCGATTTCACTGTTTTTCTTGTTTCATTTTTGGACAGATATCATGATATTGGTGCACCATGTAATTCTAGAATTCATGTGACCATGATATCTCAAATGCTTTGGGTTTACCCAAAGTATTTGAGATTTCATGCCAAATTATGTGGGTTCTACCATGAGAACTCATGCAAGCCAAACAATGCATTGTAATATTACACAAGTTCTCACAACTCAACCTACAATATACATGAATTCTTTAAATACACGAATTCTACATTACGTGCTTACCAAACGACCCCTAAGTTGTGAAACCTAATTAGCCCAATAAGCTACTTTATGGCTTGTTTGCTTGGTGGATTTGGTGATGGATTTGGTGATGGATTTGGATCCATTATGGACTTTGTCAAAAATCCATTGTTTGCTTCATGCATTTAGGGAAAACAAATCCGTGGGTCCCACAAACTTTAAGAGACCAAATCCGTGGACCCCACGGACTTGAAAGTTCCACCTATTTAGGTGGGAATTGATCATGGACTTTAAAGTCCATCATTTTTTACCAACATACCCTTCATATTTGCTTTCTCTTCTTATATCATTAAGGGCAATAAAGGTAAATTACACTTCATACATACAAATTTAATAAACAAAATCCATCATGAAATCCATCAAACAAACAATGGTGTTTATCAAATCCATAATGAACCTAAAACCCTCATTTATCCATGGTTTTTCAAAACCCAAGTTATACCAAAACCTTCATTTTTCAAATCCACGACGCAAACGAGCCAGCCACTGCCGCCAAATGCCCTTTCAAGGAAGATGGAATGGCAGTCTTTTCAAAAAAAAAATATTTTATTTCCAATCTTTAGGGTTCCTGTCATGTCAAACGTGGTTGATTATGCTAATTTTCATCTTATTACCATTCTAAAGTTTCTAAACTACTCATCTTCATCATCACCTTCCCCACAACATCTCATCATCTCATGTGCCGCGCAACATAGCAACCATGTGCCGTAAATATAATTGTCAGCACAAGCTAAGTTGCCAATCTAACTGTTAACAATAATTATAATACTAATAAATAAAATAAAAGCACATCAAATCAAACCACAATGCCGTTTCATCCATGTGCACCTCATGGTCACATAAACGCCAACCCCATATTCTGTTGTGGTGAATTCGGTTGCTCGGATTCTTTCACCTAGCTAGTTAGATCCATTTTCCGATATATGTTCACAATTCACATCTATTTTTTATCTGGATTGCTAAATGTCGCCCTTAAAATTGCTAAACATCGCCCTAACTTAGATGTCAAATTACCTGTATACCCTTAATGAAAAAATCAAAATTGGAAGAAACAAACAAGCCCTAAACCCTCTGCAACCGCCTCTGAAACTCCTGCGTTCACCGACTCACCGCCGATCACCCTCTACAACCGCCGACCACCTCACGTCGCCAACCGTCGGCGACCTCTGCACCTCCCTCCATCGCGCCGATCACCCTCTGCAACTGCCTGCCACCTCGCGTCGGCGACCTCTGCACCTCGCTCCATCGCGCCGAACTCCCGCGATCCCACCCGCGCAACAGCCTTCGCCGGAGAAGAAGGCTTCGTCGGAGAAGAAGAAGGTAAAAAAAAAAAAAAAAAAACCGTGCCGACCGCAGTCAAACCGCGGTTAGACCGACGGTCAACCGCGGTCAACGCGCGGTTAGACCGACGGTCAACCGCGGTCAACGCGCGGTTGAACCGACGGCTGACCGCGGTCAACCTGCGGTTGGACCATGGCTGGACCGCAAATGACCTGCGGTTGGACCATGGCTGGACCGCAGGTGATTTGCGGTCCAGCCATGGTCCAACCGCAGGTCATTTGCGGTCCAGCCATGGTCCAACCGCAGGTCATTTGCGGTCCGGCCATGGTCCAACAGCAGGTTGACCGCGGTCAGCCGTCGGTTCAACCGCGCGTTGACCGCGGTTCCCTTTTTTTTTTTTTTTTTCTTTTTCAGTTAATGTATTTACCTCATCGGAGTAACGACTCCGACGATATCGGCTTCAAAATGACGATGATGGATTTTTCTCTCCTTAGATAGTGTTTTTTTAGTCCAAGTAGTGTTTGTTTGATAAAGGGAAGGTAAAGAAGCTAAGGGGGTAAAAGTGTAACTTTGATTCTTTTTAGGGCGACCTTTAGCAATTTTAAGGGCGACCTTTAGCAACTCCCTTTTTATTGTGGCTCTGTTTGTAATGCTTTTCATGAATTTGAATGAATTAAATTTTGACATAAATAAAAAAGCATAATTTGCATCTTCGGCCTTAGTGATACGACCGAGTGAAAGGACCGTCGCCCGTCGGTCAACAGAGAAAAGTTACTCTAGAGATAACATATTGATTTTCCACAAGAGCTCATATCGACGGGAAGGTTTGATACCTTGATGTCGGCTCTTCCTAACAAAAAAAATTTGCTTTCTTCAAATAATAGTCTATTTAAAGACAAAATACTACAACAAAAAAACAAAGAAACTTACAATAATAATAACAACATACACGCGTGTATGATCAATCATGTACCCTAGTAAAAATAATGTTTTTTCAAAGCTAATCACACCCTGTAACTAACTAAAATTCTCCTAACGTAATCATCATCGTAACCGACATTTACATCGTAACCGACATTTACCACTTTTCCGTAAACACTTAACTCGCTCGCTTCGTACGAACCGCCTATCACAATGACGGAGTTGACTTAATACGATCGATGGTCGAGATTGACGTCTCTGCGTAGAAGAAACTTCCTTCCTCTCTACTATCACCAAAGAGAACCCCTTTCTGAGATTTACAAAATCGGGGTGTCGATCCAATTCAAGCATCCAACCACAACATTAGCCTGGAACCATTTGGGCAAACCTTGCAGTTTCAAATCCCTAAACCTCCCACTGTTGCCATCGTAACAGACCAACACCCTGCTCTTGTACTCGAGAAGAATCTCCCCATTTTCCAGGACGCACAAAACCCTGACCCTCCCGCTAAGGGCAGTCCTCCAAATCTTGTAGGACCTCTCAACGTTCTGTTTCAGCCCTTTGGGCATGTAAGCCCCAATGCTCAGCTCCTTCACCCACGATTCCTTCACATTGTACTCTTTCATCACCCAAATCTCCAACCTCCCGTAGTTGCAATAAACCGCCGCTCCGAGGCAGCCCCTGACTGCGACGAGCGAGAGATTGCAGCGGTTCAATCCGCCACAATCCGGTTTAGGCACCTCCCTGAACTGCTCGTCCCCCAAATCGAACGAAATCAGGCGCCGGACCGGGTTGCACCGCCTGGGTCGGGTCACCCAATGGAGCCGACCGTTCACCAGAGCCTCGCCCGGTTTGCTGCGAAGGAAGTGGTGAGAGAATTTGGGCTGCGTTCTCCACCCTGATGAGGAACCAAGAGTCAGAATTTGGACATCGGACATCATCCTCCGCGACCCGACAGGTCGACCCGACCCACTGGACCGGCCCCTGCCCCGGTAGTACACTATTTTGATGACCTTGTACTCCTTGGTCCGTGGATGAAACCCGAACCCAAATACAACCTCTTGGCCGGCGTAGTGCTCCGATTTGGGGAGCTGGGTGAATTTTCCGGCGAACGGGTTGTAGACGTAGAGCGCATCGCCGTAGAGCGAATCGGAGAGGCAGAGCAGGCCGTTGCAGGAACCGATTACCTCGAATTCGGACATGGATGGCCAGAAGGGTACTTGAATTCTCCTCACCCTGCTGTCCCCGGAGGCCAAATCGGCGAAGTAGATCTGGTTGCGGATGGGGAAATCGCAGTGGAGGAGGAGGCAGGGAGCGGCGCGGCGGAGGGACAGAGCTACGAGTTCAGGGTCGACGGCAAGGACGCGCCAGGAGCGGCAGACGGAACGGAATTGGACCAATGAAGTGATGGGCAGGCGGGAAAGTATGTCCTGTACGATCTCCGTCGGTAGGAGGTCCATCGGAGTGGCCGCCGGCGGCAGGGAAGGAGCGTCGTCGTTGGTCTTCCGTCGCTTGGTGCAGTTGAAATCCATGGTTACTGAATTCCCCTGTTTTTTGGTAGCTCTACCAAGAAGAGGTAACCATGGATGGAAATCTCTTTAGCGGAGGAGAATGATTCATTTGAGACGGAAACCAGAGGGAGGAGGAGTAGAAGAATTGAGATGGGAGTGGGAACCCACCCACAATCTTTGAATAACTTCTTCCTTGTTTGGCCTTTAGTTTAAAATTTATGGAAAAGGAATTATCAAAAAACAAAAGAAATTTATGGGAAAGGAAGAAGAAAAGGGAAGGGAGAATTTTATTTTTTTCTTTTTTACCACTTTTCATCAAATGATCGCTTACTACCCTATATCATATTTGGTTAAGAAATTTGTAGAACCAAACCTAATAGTTTATGGATGAAAATTTCAAAAGTCAAATTAAAAACGAAGGAGTACCAGATTAATAACAATTGGTATGATATACAAAAATTTTCTCTTGAAATATATTGAAAATAAATTTCATTATCTAGATCATAATGAACTCGTTCAATTTGTGGAATAAATTTTTTTAACTCAAATTAAAAAAAAACATAAAAGTAAATTAAAAAATATATAAAAAGTCATTTAATCTAACTTCTTATATCCGATTCCATTTAGAAGCAGGAGCCTAGATCTAGTTATGTAAGGCTTATGTAATTTATGATTTTGCACTCTATCTTGAACCTTATTGGAAATTGGAATAGTATAACCTATAAGGTAAATATTTATTTTTCTTAGTTATAAAATGAGAACATCTTTTTAAGTAGCCATGCCTAATTTCAAGTAATGATACAAAATGATTTTTTTTATCATGTTCGAATATTATCACCAATAATCATTCATGCTCGATAACTAATTAGCTATTAGTACAATGAATAGTTAAAAATGTTAAAATGTTAAGGATGGTAGTTGAGAAGAGTAAATTTTTTTTTATCTCTTTATCCAATTTAATATTTGAGCATTTTACGAATTGATTGGGTACATCCAAATCAAAAGGCATATAAATAAGAACTTGTGAATCCCATTCCTTGTCGATGGGTGCATCAAACCCTACCACCTTGAAAGTGACCATCCAACACTTTTTTCCTCCCCCTTTAATTTGTCTTCTTAGATCCATTTTCTCAAGTCATTGAATAACATCAACAATTTTGGTTCATTATCCCTTTAGCTTACACCGCTTTTTTTTTTTTTTTTTTGTGTAATTTATTTCCAGGAAGACAGCTGTCCACCTAGGCTAGTATATGTCCATTAGCAAAGGACTTTTGTTTAAAACAGACTAGCAAGATGCTTGGAATCATCCCTGGGTGGAAGAAATAAAAATGTTACTTCTTCCCCCTCTTCACATGGGTCCCTGAAATTTTCATTTTGTCCTAGATCTATCCACAATTTTTTTTTTTAATTAATGTGTGGTTACATTAAGCACAACTCAAAACTTTCTCTTACAGAAAAAGAAGGAACTCAAATGAGATCTAATATCTTTTGTTTGTATCCATACTTTCCTTAAGCAAATGGGTATGAATGTGAGTTGTTAATGTACCTTATATACATGACTAGCACACTTAAATTACATTTTGAAGGAGAGAAAAGAAAAAGGAGTTAGTTACACACGAATTCGAACACAACGATACCTAATATCATTAAATAATGAGAAATAATTAAATAAATGAAATCCGGAAGTTTAATTTTGCGGAGACACTTTTGGTATAAGATATTGTAAGATTCCTGAACTATGGGTTCAATAGAAGGTAGACCATCATGGTTTGATTTTACAAGCTACAATACTTTCAAGATTTCCATGGTTCTTTAGTGTTCATTCGTGATTTATTGACACAAAATATATTATCACTATTTGGATTAAAGCGTTTATGAGAATTGAGTCATTGACTAGTGCATTACTTATTTCAAACTTCAATAGTTAGTCGTTGTTCAAATGATCAGGGGTGGAACCACTCACAAGAATGGGTTGTCAATTGACAAACCTTGAATGTAAGATTAGAACAAAATATATGTGTAAAATTTTAGTTTGGTAATGGTAGTATTTGGATTTCAAATTATTTGATAACCCTTATAAAATTTTATCTATTGTTGAATACCATTAATGAAATTTCTGAGTCCGCCACAGATCATCTCTCGATAAAGTAGTGTTTCTGCATGATGTCTTTGGCCATCATCACTTCTGGGGTTGGATTCGTTGCAAACTGCAGTTCAGCACACAATGACAAAACTAATCAATCTAGGAATAAAAATAGGTTTAATACACTTGCATAGCCATAACTATTCGCATTTTGACAATAATAGCCACTTTTTGAAAAATACACTAAAATAGCCATTCCGTCCATAACTTTAACGGCATTGAAATGAACGCTGACTAGACTAACGATTTTTTATGACGTGGCTTCTTTTTGACAAAAAAATTGCCACTTGGAAAAATCCCTTTTATTATAATTAACTAAACAACAAGAATTAAAAAAATAGAAGAGGGATTCAACTTCCCCTCTTTTCACAGAACTCACCTCAACATCTCTATCGAAGCTCCGGCGCCGCTCTCTCTCCACCTCCATTTTTTCATCCTCCTCTTATTTCTCTGTTCAATCCCAACTTCCATGTGGATTGTGGATGCCATCCAATCATCGATCCATCCTGACACCCTGCTTACTTACTCTGTAGACTAGGTCAATGAAGAATTTGGGTTTCCTTCGCATCAGTAGCACTGGGATCGAAAGTTCATGGGCTCCGCCGCCGTCGATCCGACCATGGGAGTGAACAGAGACTCCGATTCTGGACTACAGGTGAAGAACCGAGAGATTGTGTGTTGGGGGAAGAAAGAAGAACCACAGCGGAATCGTAAGAGAGGAATCTCTCTATGAAATTAGGGTTTTCGGGCATAGAGGGATTTTTCTTCAGCGGCGCTGTCCTGTGAAAGAAACTCGATGGTTGGGAGATTTTGTCAACAACCACCTCCTCGCCGCCATTCATCGATTTTGTCATTAGTAGTATGCGACGTCAATTGCAACACCGTGAAGAACTGGGTCGCGAAAAATGAATTGGAATCGGCGAGCGAGAATGGGAAGAATGTACCCTATTTTTCGTTAGTTCCATCCGCTGAAGAATTCAAGATTGTCCCAACTGAGATCCGAATTGCAAAGGTACCGGCATAGTACGGCCAATCCGTCGCCGGAAGGAAGAACGAAAGCGGGAGTTTGGATTTTGGAAGAACACAAGTTGAATGGAGAACACAAGTGAAAATTAGGTTTTTTGGCGAAGGAAATTCATTTGCCGTCTGTAGTAGCACATAAGTGCATTGGTTTTTTTAAAATTTGAAATTAGTTTTTTTTAATTTAAAATGTGATGTGGCATCCACTAAGCATGATAAGTCTAAGTGGACATGATGTGTTATCCACGTGGCATCCACATCAGCCTATACTTTGTTTAGTTGACAAAGTCATTGACGGTGTTAAAGTATGTGACGGAAGTGGCTAAATTTTTCAAACAAATTTTAAACGTGTGGCTATATCTGTGTATTTTTTGAAAAGTGGCTATTATTGTCAAAAGCGAGAAAGTTATGGCTATGCAGGTGAATTAAACCATAAAAATAAGATAGAAGAAAAACTTGTGGGTAAACAAAATCCAACGGCCACAATGACACTAGCATTATTAATAAATACTTCGATCAGCTTCAATCATCTCCTTAACGCATCTCATAATTATAAAGAAACTCCTTATCGTATCTCTTATGGATATATGTCATTAGAGAATATTATCCAAGGAAACCAATTACCGTACGGCTTAAATTTGTGATTAGTACGATAAAGAAAAAATGTGATTAATAATAGACAATATCAGTCCCCACAAACAAAATGATCAGTCTAGTCCGTTCGCTTGAGCCCAATCACAATATTGGGGTAGAAGATGAACAAGTCTGAAGGAGCCCATGCGACAATGGGCTTGACCCCTCTCTGTGATGACAATAGACGACGTAGGCTCGTCTGTTTTGCATCGCCTGCTTTAGTTTTGGACATGTTGATTCAAGCTCAGAAACGTATAGAGGTAGCTCGGAGGATTCTGAAGCGGTTCAAAATTCAAATGGTTATTATGCTAATTAAAAAAAATGAATTAACTTGTAAATTTTACTTTGTGGTTGATTACACAGCCCTGTTCTCAGCAAACTCAACATGTGGTAGGAAATCTTCCCAAATTTTGACGTTGCTCTTTTTCACGGCTCGCAACATTTGGGATAAAATACAATTTACCCAATTTGTCCATCTGTTTGAGGATGAAAAGTCGTAGAAAACAAGAGCATCACCTGAAGTTTGCTCCACAACGTCTTCCAGAAATAGCTCAAAAACTTTCCATCTCGATCATACACAATGGTACGTGGCATGCCATGCAATCTCACGATCTCTTTGAAGACCATACCCAACACATTGATTGCATCATCAGTTTTATGGCATGGAATGAAGTGTTCAATCTTTAAGAAATGATCCACCACCACAAAAATTGAATCTCGGCCTCTTCTAGTTCTCGGCAATTCTAGCACAAAATCCATAGATATGTTGACACAAGGTGCATAAGGAATAGGTAGTGCCATGTACAATCCAGATGATTGTACCTTCGACTTTGCTTGTTTGCACAGCTTTTAATGCGAGGTCAAAGAAAGTGCTCTTGCAAACAACTCAATGTCTTGCCTACACCAAAGTGAGCCATCAATCCGCCTCCATGAGCCTCCTTCAACAATAGTTCTCGAAGTAATGTTCTTAGTATGCATAATTGATTACCACGAAGGAGATATCCATCACTTCTGTAGAACTTTCCCTCTCCATGCTTCTCACAAGCCTTGTAAATCTCTTGAAGTCAGCCAATTCACATGACAATGTTGACAAAATGTCACGAAATCAGCAAAGTCCTTACTCTAGTGAGCATGGAAGATGACCCGTGAAAATTTTGTAAGAAATTGGTCGTTTTGGGTATTCCCAAAAATAGCTATTATTGTGTTGTATAAAGTATATATTTGCATTAATAAATTCATTAAATTGTCATCTAACCAGCTTTCATGCCTCAGCTAATGAAAGACAAAATTGATGTCAATAGCGGCTATCCGTAATACCAATCACAAAACTAGTAAAAAAACAAACGTCACCCGAATTAATTATATCGAGAATATATGGCGTTCTCCGCCAAGCAGAATGAACCGATTAAATCAAAGGCCGTTGAAGCCTTGAAATAGAACACAAAGACTGGGAAAGCAAGGAGTCGGAATGATGAGCAAAATTCTGTCTCTCCCTCGAGAAATCGTGGTGGACATAGTTTCAAGGCTACCCATCTCGTCCCTACTCCAAATCAAGCTTGTCTGCAAATCGTGGCGCCAACTTCTCCAAGACCCTCACCTTCCTTCCCTCCATTTCTCCCGACTCAATACCACCATTTCATCGGATCCATGCCTTATTCTACACTCCAGGTATATATATCGCAAGATCTTCCGACGTTTTCTGCCACCAAAATAAATAGGCATAAGAAATAATACCATCGCTTTAAGAGTTAAGCGTACTTATTTATTTTGTTGTTCATGTTATTCTAATTCTTTCGTGAAGTAGTTCCAATATTCAGAAAAACATATATCTAAATATTCCCTCTTCTTTTTGAAATAGAGAGTTGGACTGCTGAATAATAATTTGATTAGCGGAAGCAAATCGCGGGACGGTGGGAGATAGTACAGGTAGATGATCTAACAAGTAGGGTTATTTTGGAATAAGGGAATAGACATTATAAAAATTGAATTTACGATTATGGTTTGATGGGGAGTCATCTTACGGTAACGGATTTTGAGAAAAAAAAAAAAGTTTACTCATACCACTCGTTACCTTCTTCATACCATGTGCAATCACCTTCATTTTGAAGTCGATTTTGAAAAAAAATTCACAGAGGGAATGAACTCATCATGATCTATTGGATCTACAAATTTTTCGGGAAAAAAAATACGAGGCCAAAATATACCACCTCATACCACCCTAGTATATGGATGGTATCTTGTGGTACACAATGTTTAAAGTTGTAAATGACAGTTAGTATATTCACACTATTTTTTTTGACAAGTTAGTATATTCACACTATTAATGTCAATATAATTGTGAAGTGCACAATTGATCTTATTTATCTGTTAAAAAAATTAAATTCAGAATTAAAAAAAAAGAAATATAGCGCATTAAAATTTAGAGAGAAACAAATTGTGATCATTCCATAAATAATGATGTGACGCTGATTAATAGCAAGCCGTTTCTAAGTTTGAATACTTACTACGTCAACCCATATTAGACAAAGTAATCTCTTTTAGTGTTAAATTTTCCCCCCCTTTCCTGCCAATAGGAACTGCGCCCACAACGAGCTCTACTTTTTAGATATGTGCTCCTTGGTTAAAGAAGACGATGGTCATCCTAACGAGAATAACTTGAAGAAACTGATTGTGCCACCGACGATTTTGAAGTTTGTCGTGTTGGGTTCCTGTCGTGGGATCCTTTGTTTCGCGAACTTGTCACAGCGCGCAGCGATTTACCTTTACAATCCTCTTCTAGCCGAATTAAAAGAGATCCCCAAAACTATTTGCGGCCCAAGCTACAACATGGGATTCGGTTTTCACCAGGGTAAGGGGCAATACAAATATTTTTATCTACCTCTTAAATTTGTCTTGTTTTTTTTTTATGTTGCAATTTTGATCTCATAGACTCAAAATTACTATAGAGACGAAAGAGTATAAATTGGTGACGATCGTGGCCGTGGTGGACAGAGACTCTCTCCGATTTAGGACAGCAAGATCGTCGGGGTCGGCTTTATCCGTTATAACCCTAACGGCCCAGAATGGAACACGGCCCAATGAGCCCACGAGTTGGAGAAGATTAGGCTTAGTGCCTTACCACTTCGTCCACCAGGCTCACCAGGTGCTCGTTTCTGGCCGGCTTCACTGGACTGCTTTTCGCAGGACTCGAGGGCCCAACAAGCATGTGGTGGTGTCGTTTGATCTCTCCGACGAGGTAGTTCGAGAAGTCCCTATGCCTTCGATTTGCTCGTGTGAAAGGAATTGTCGGTGTAAGTTGGAGTTAATGGTCGTTGGAGCTCGTCTTGGCATTGTAGAGTATGATGTTGGTGGGGAGATCAAGATTTGGGTAATGAAGGATTATGGCGCGGAGGAGTCTTGGGCTAATGGGATTTACATTAACGGGGTCGACATTAATCGTGACGGTGATGAAACAATTTCGTCGGATAATATTGGTTCAGCGAGGAGATTGCGCACTTATTTTCACGAAACCTCGGATTTTAGGGTTTTGTGGGTGATGAGAAATGGAGAGGTCTTGCTGGAGTACAAGAGGAGAGGTTTGATTTGTTATGATCCTGGAAATAGGACTTGGAGAGATGTTTTGCCACAGGGAGGAGGATTGTTTGTTAATGGGTTCAATGCATTTGTTCATGATGGTAGGTTTTTCGAGATTGATTGTTGACCGTTGTATGCAAAAAGTCGGTGATATAGTATTTTGTGTTTAAATCGTGATTTAATCATTGTTCACTTGAACTATAGCAGGCAATTTTTTCAATCGAACCGTCAGTATAGTATAGTTTTGCGAACACTGAAACCCCACAGAGAAGAAAAGAGAACAAAAAAAAGATAGAAATCCTCTTCCTTTTCCCTTCCCTTCGTTGGATTTTGATCATTGACTGTCTCAAATCAAGGGCAAAGTCAGGAGTACCGAAACAACATGCTAGAATGTAGGACCTGCAGGTGGGAACCACGTCGGAAAATAGTTGAGAATTTAGTCTATGAGTATGGGGGCTTATGAAAAATAAATGGAAACAAACACACTAATGAAACGCTCATAGGGTTGATCTGATTTTGGACTTCTAGATATGGGTTATGTAAGGGAAAAGATAAAAAAAAAAATATAGCATTGTTGCGTGAGATACATTCGGGGAAAAAACATAATTGGGAGGTTCATTTCAGTGCAAAACTAACCCAAATCCAAGCGCATAAAAGAAGCTAGGAGACCGAAGCCCTTTCTGAAAAGGTTAAATGCATATGAACTCAACCAAATCTATCTTAGTGAACAGTAACCTCAATTAATCTTCATATAATAAAATTAGTTAATTAATATGTCAACATGAGCCATGATGTCCTTGTACGTGTTACTTGAAATAATGGAAGCATGATGAGCATGTAATGTTTTTGAAACAATAGACGGAGACGAAAAATTACATTGATTTTGAAAAGGAAAAATGTATAAAATAAAAGTGTCTACCATTAGGGCGGTTAATGATCGGAGCCGAGTCGAGTTTTGCCATAGTTCGGGCTCGGCTCGTTAATATATTTCCAAGCTCGAGCTCGAGCTCGTTTATGAAAATGAAAGCTCGAGCACGGTTCGAGCTCGGCTCATCAAATAAGTTTAACGAGCCCAAATCGAGTTAAGCTCATAAAATGTTCATAATAGCTCAAGATTGACCTAAAACTGGGCAAAAAATTGCATTCAAACCTATAGCAAAGTCTAGCAAAACAAAGCACAATATTTATTCCAATTTTAAGACATAAAATCCATGAATTTTAATCTTTTCTTATGCCAAAATGTTAAATAAGCTTGTTCGCGAGCTTTCGAGCTGAACATGGTATGGCTCGAGTTCGACTCGTTTAGTTAACGAACTTGTTCGCGAGCCGGCTCGATTAAGACGAATCGAGTTTCGAACGAGTTCTTCTCAAGTCGAACGCCGAGCCGTTCATGAGTGGCTTGGTTCATTAACAGCCCTATCTACCATGTAACAAACTTTGTTAGCTCTTATGCTACGTTACCCTTGAAGCTAAAATATAAACGGCTTGGTTCATTAAATCTACCATGTAACAAACTTCGTTAGCGCTTATGCTACGTTACCTTGAAGCTAAAATATTAATTTTGTTCCTTCATCATTGGCAAAATTTATCCATGTCATTCCTCTGGCTCCCACACAATTATTTTCATCTCCACTACTACCACTGTGCACCTAGCTAGCTACTTACTTTTTGCGACATAATACTTTGTCTTATTATTACTTAATTAATACGATGATTAAAAGTTGCAGGGCACTTCCAAAATCTTGTGGAAAAAGATAAGAAAGTGAAAGGACTAGGCATATGGTTAATAATTGAGTTGCATAGTTGCCTAGCTGAATATTGGGTCCATTCAATTGCTCACATGGAACCTTTTTCTTTTGTTGAATTTTGACGGGAGTGTTTCATTAGTTGTGAGTTACCATCAGCCTTAGTATTGGACATTCAGACTTTAGGGTTCCACTAAAGTGAAACTTTTTTATGGCTCAAAGAGACAAAAGTAAAAACCTAAGATAAGAGGAGGGTTTCATAGTAACTTTTTGGTGCAACGAAGTATTACAACAGTTGGTATGAATAGTTTTGAAAGTTATAAGTGAAGTTTCAAAATGTCATATTGTTGGATAGAGTTTTGCAAAAGGTATACAAGAATATATTTCTCTCTTAAGGGTATGGATGACACATGAAAATTACTCTTTTTTACCTTCATATTATGATCATAACTTCACATGATTGTCATACATTTATCGTCATAACATCTTGGATTTGATACGTGATTACTGGAAGTGAATTCTATTAGGACTAGGCTTTATCAATTTGATGCACTCTTAGTAGTGTTTCGTGTGTTTTCAGGCTTGGCAACTTGATAGACCACTTTGTGTGTGTTAAGGGACTTCAAGACATGACTACTAGGATCTAGAACCAAGAAATGAAGAGAGGACAAAAACAGTGTCGGAATCAGTAGCCTAATCAACAAAATGGCACTCGGGCTATCATTTTGAGGCTCATCCAGAAATCGCCAGTCTTCAAGGAATATACTTTTCATTGTGGCGAAGCTAAAAGAGGTCGATTGGGACTCGAAGATGCATTAGATGATCGTCCTATCTCCCCAAAAACCCCCAAGAGAAAGTCCATAAAAAGACTTATAGGGAGGAGGAGTTTGGTAACTAGTGATAGGAGAAATTAGAGGGTTGTTACTCTGTTGATGGAGTAACTAACATGACTTACAATGACACCGGTTACCAGAGGCAAATCGGCCCAGAATCAGCAGCCTAGTATCCTATATCTTTGTTCTAGGCACCAATTTGTAGAACTCGTTGGGATTCTTGTTTCGACTGATGTATCCCATGCATTTCGTCCATGTGGCCAACTAGCTCCCTTAGTTGCACAGGTGGACGAACCCTAGACGTTCTAGACTTTGTAAAGTTTGATTTTGGTATATATACGATGTTTTTATTCCTTTATCTTTTTCTTGTTCTTTTGTGGTATCTATTGCCAATTGATTGAGAGATTCTGGAAACATACATGCCTTTGAGATTTATGCCTCAAAATTCTTGTCATATAGGATGAAGTTCGGACAGGCCATCCTACACGATCAATCTTCAATCAGTTGAATTATGCGACACTTCAACAGGAAATCCATTGGGTCTTTGTTATCTATTAGTTCCGATAAATGTTTTGACACAAGGTAGGAATAGATATCACTTGGATCAAGTAGCTCGTATGTTGCCAAGATCGATGTTACGAGTGTAAGGAATTATAGGAGGAGCTTGCATGTGTAAGACCTCATTCTTCGGCTTCTTACACTCGCCATTAGATATAGTTTTACTTTTCTGTTTTTTTTTTTCATTCTATTATGTAAAAAAAAGGGGAACTTTAAACCTGGAGGCATCTCAACCTCCACAATCACCTTTTAAAACCATAGAACTCGTCCCTCACCACCTGAGTAAGTGATTGTGAGAGGCCCTAAGAAAATACCACCCTGATCTTAGAACAAGGTAAATTTGACCACAAACTACAATAGGATCAGGTATACTGCTTGGGGCGACCGACTATTGTAGGAGAGGGAGGACCTAAAAGACATCTGTACCACACACATGAGCGTTCGCCGATTGGATTAAGTCTATAAATTTTGGAGAAATTTTAAATTAGTTATATGGTTCCTTTTCTATACAATAAAAAAATGTATTGAAGGATAATTAATACCATATTCCATTTTATTGACTTACGTAATTAGCGTGACGTATTCCTCGCGAAGAGTGTACACGAAGGGTTTTGGCTCTTATTAATATTCAATTCCCAAGAACCTCTATAGACACGGTAAAGAGAGAAGAAACAAAAAAGGGAGAGACTCAGAGAACTCTAATTTTTCACAAGCCGAAAGTAATAAAGATTGGTTATTTTATCCTAGATGCGATTGGCTGATAGTCTGTCGTGTGCAATATAAAATAGTGTCGTGAACATCTTATAGAGAGTGACATAGTCTGCGACTCTGGCATAATTGGCGATCATAGTTTCTATTGTTCGTTTTCTAACAATTTTAAGACCTTGTGTTATTGCTTTAATGATCGAATAGAAAACCGGATCTAGCACAAGAGATATCATTCGCCTTTTTGCTTCCAAGGAGCCAATTTCAGCTGCTGGAAACAGAAGATGATATTTTACCCGACGACTAAAAAATTTCTAAATTGCCTCACCTCGATGCCCGTGGATCATACCGAAGTAGCAATCGATGAGAAGAAGGCTACTGGCGCAAGGGTGAAAAATATTGCCTTTTGTTTAAGAACTATATCCAGTTGATGATTTAAATGACTACTATATGGATTAGCACAACACCACGATGATGGTCTGGAATGTTCTCATAAGAACAATGATAACGAGGAGTCTGGAACCAAGAAGTATGATGTCACTCGCTACCTGCGTTACCAGATGGTGGATGAAAAATCTTTCGAGGTTCAATCCCATGAACTTTGGTAAAGTGATCCTGAGATCGTCTTTGAAGGTATGCCTCTTGACCATCAATCTAAAGTTCAATGGAAAGTTTGGCATAAAACCAAAAAATTTCACTGGAAAGTTTGGTAACTCACCTAAGGATAGAGGTTGAAGTTCGAAAACAAGATATGAAAGAACAAGTGATGGTTGTTGGTATAGGTTAATGATGACTCGATATTTGCACATGTTTTCCCCGTTGTTTCTTGATCATTTAAGCTTGCATTATCGCTTCTTTGGCCTATTTTACGCTAGGTTGTGTTCCTTTGTCACATTTTAGGTCCTAGCACATAAAGTGAAGCGTAGGCGCAAGTTTCAAGTCAACCGGAGATCAATTGGCGACTCGGGGGAAGAAACTCGGGTATGAGTTGAAGAAGAATGGATTTCTACCTCAGTTTGTGACTATATAATCATGTAATCTTGTCATGAGATGAAATAGGACGAGACTACAAGCGTCTGGGATCAAACGACACCTGATTTGGAGTCCGAACGAGGGAGAAACGAAGAATCAAAGATAGGGGAAAATTGGTTTCGGGCTTCTCTGAGAAACAGAAGGGGGCCCTGTCGTGACGCTAAAATCCCCGGTAGGGAATTTTTGGCATTGACCGGGGATTTTCCCCTGTCTCCAGACGTTGTGTTTTGAAGATACCCGGTCGTCGCCTAAAA